CTGTATGAATTTTTATATATTTTCTTTTGGGTACTATTAGAATCACTGCTCATATTGCTACCAACTCTGTTAGTGTTGCTGATGGCCATATTTCTAGGCCTAGTGCTACTTCTTCTTCTAACCAATTGACTTTCTCTTCTACTTGCACCTATCTGATACCCATTCTTTCAATATTATTCTTTTTACCTTTTTTGTATAGTGCTCTATCTGTATAAAAAATATATCTTTCTTTGTTTCTTTCTTTGTTTCTTGTTAAGATCTCTATTAGTCATTCTATAAGCACATTGTCTAATCCTTGTTTTTTTATTATTTCTATTTCTAATTCTTCTACTTGTTTAAGCCTAACTAAATCTCCTTTCTCATTTCTTCATTTTTCTATTGTTCTGTTTTCTTTTAGTTAATCTATTGTCACATTGATTCTGTTGTTATTTTTTCTATTATTGATTCTGGAATGGCTTGTGTTGTGGTCTAGTTGAATCCACTTTTCATATCTTTCTATTGTCTGTGTTTGTGTATTTATGCAGTCCTTGCACTTGCTTATTTCTGTTGATGTTTTCCCATTTTCTTTGTACATTAACTAATGTTCAATTAAAATCTCTTTATCTTTTTTCTTAGTTATTTTGCCTAGTTGTTGATTATTCTTTGGCCTATAAATAACCTATTGTTTTTTTCTTTTACCTTCTGACATTTTTGTCTATATGATTTTTAGTACTTATGTATTATAATTGTTCAATTTGTATTGATTATGTACTTCTTTGTTTGTTTGTGTTATTAATATCTTTTTCTTAATTTTGCTAAACCACTTTGACTTTCTTTCTTTACATAACCTTCCTTGAAGAATTTTAAGCTGTCTTCATATAATTAGCTTTTTGTCTCTTATATCTATTAGCTGGTTCAAATATATTAGTCCTTAGCTATTTATTTTGGTACTATTTGCTTTCTATGTTTTCATTTCTATTATATCTTTTATCTTGTTTTCATGTCCATACACCTTCTATAAGCATTCTCTTGCTCTAATGCCTATATCTATATCTTTTGCTTTGGCTATTGTTCGGCATGCTAGATTGTTTTTTTAATGTTTTTTCTCTTCTGATCCTGTTTCTATATTTCATATATCTTCTGTTAAGCCTGCTGCTTGGCAACCTTGAGTTATTCTAAGCCTTGTTATTTTATATATATTAATATAATAATTTAATTTTTAGATTTATTAATAAGAATACTATACATTTAATAAGCAATATAATAATTTATTTAAAGATTTATTTAAAAATCTTTTTTAATAGTTTTAAATAAACTACAAAACAGAAAATATTAAATAAAAAAACTTTAATTAATAATAATTTGGATAATAAACAATCTAGTGATTTAAATACTCTTAATAAAAATAATAAATTAAATAATAAACAATTTAATAATTCAAATATTTTTAATGAAGAAGCTTTAGATAATTAAAATAGTTTAATAATAAAATTTTTCTAATAAAAAAACTAATAATAATTTAATTATTATTTAGAGTTATCTTATCAAACCTATATTAATATAATTTTAAATCATTAAAAACTTATAAACTACAAGAAAGGAAAACTTTATTTATTAATAGAATATATTAAATTAATTATTGAAAAAAATATTCAACAACTGAATGCTAAAAACTGAATTAACTCTATTGATAAAAACTTTAATTTTTTGAGAAAAATAGTAAATAATTATGAACATTACAATAAGCATTAAAAAACTTAAAATATTTAAAAAAATCAAATACATAATATATTTTGAATTTGAAATATATTGTAAATTAGTTTATAAATTAAAATTTTTTTTTATAAATTGTTTTTTTTTTAAAAAAAAAAAAATTTATATTCTTTTTAAAAAATATTTTTTAAAAATTGTTTTTTTACATAATAATTAATTTACTTGCTGTTAGAGATATGACAACCTAGTAAAGTGATTAGGTTATCAATCTAAGTAGTAGGTTAAATATTCAAATCCTATTAATAGCAAAACTTTGAATAATTAGTTATATAATATTCATATTATAGTAACTATTACTAATGATTAGGTTAAAATATCTGTAATAACAGTTGTACTAGTATAACTGGCAGGTTATAGGATATTTGTATAAATATAACATTATATAGAGAAATACAAACTAACAAATTGAGTAGTGCAAATACTAAATAAGTCTTTGTAACTATATAAATCTATTAAAATTAGGTAATAAGAGATTTATTTAAAAAGACTCAAATAGAGAAATAACTAAATCTTTGATAGTATTACTGTAAAAACTAACTTGAAGAAATAAATATTAAGATTATAATACCAAATTATAGTATCTAAATAGACAAAAATCTTCAGTTTGATGAAGGCTCAGAGATATTACCAATTAGATCATCAAAATAAACTAGAGAAAAAAAATATTAGGCTGATCTGATATACCAATAGACTGGTTATAATTCTATACAAGTTATCTGGATTGAAAGTTTAGTAAAAAAAATAAATAAAAAGACAAAGATATACTAAAGTACTAAGATTATATTGTAAAATAGATACTAGGATCTGTGTAAACTCTACAAAGACATAATGGTTTAATGGTTAAACCTTAACTGCAAGTATTGATTTTACTATAGTAATATTTAAATCAATTGTAAAAATAAATACAGAAGACTTTAAAAGATTTAATTTGAAAATAAAAAATAATTCTAAAGTTGAAACAATAATCTGAGCATCTGAAATAATCTAGTAATATTAATACAGATTGCAGATTCAGAAAGTTTAAAGTAGAACATCCAAGCAAAAATATTAGGTATAGCAATTGGTAATGAACCTTTGGACAGACTTCTTAAATAGGTAATATAGAAAAGTTACATATATAGCCAATTGTACACTCTTCTGTAGTGGTTTATAAAATCATATTACCAAAAAAATCATTAATAAAAAGTCAAAAGACCAAAGAGGTCACCTTAATATCAAAAAAAAAAATTTACTTGCTGTTGTTACTTAAAATACAATAAAATAAATTGATTCTTAATTTAGTTTTAAAATTAATTGCCAACTAGAAAAAACTTTTATATTAATGCAGCCAAATTATAAGCTTTTAAAATTTAACACTAATAAATATAGCAAGCACTTTCTAAAGAAAATAATAAGATATTGAGTAAATTTAATTGGATTCGTTAATATTGATATTGTGCAAATTTAATTGAATGGTTATCAATCACGTAATACAGCGAAATTTTTTAGGCGAGTTATTTACATACTATTCGTCGGTCCTGAGTCAACTAAGGTTTTCCTTATTTTGGGGTCGGCTAAAGCGGAGTTAATTCCATATATGATCTACACATTGCATAAATTACATTCTTGATATTCTATATAACCTACTAACACTAACTGCATCAAAAAGGTAACTCCAAACTCGCTCCGCTTTAGCCGACCACCCTTATTTGGGACGTTCCTACCTGTACTGGTGAACAGCCATACTTCCGGAAAATTTCCGCTCAATTTTATGTTCCAATAATTCAGTAATACAATAATTTCTGACATTAATTTGACGCATTAAAAAATTCTGTGCTCGGTTATGCATATTGCCGATCATGATCGACAATTGTGCCGTTAAGAAAATTTTCAAAGCTTGAATGAAAATACCTCAATAACTACTTATCCAAACCCGATAAACTTTTTGTTATTTTAATTCTATGAGTCAACATAATTAAACCAAAAAAATTTTCATCGATTTTAGATAAGTAGTTATTGAGCTATTATCGCTCAAAGTTTGGAAAAACAGCCGTGGTCTTTGATAATCGGCTAAATTTTTTTTTGAACTTTGAGCAATGATATATTGATAATTACTTAAAATCGATGAAATTTTTTTTAATTTAATTCTATGGATCCATAGAATTAGGGTGAAGGAATTTCATTGAGTTAAATAAGAGATATCATCGCTCAAAGTTCAAAAAAAATTTGACCGATTATTAAAGCAAATATCTCAATAATTACTTATCTAAAATCGATGTTTTAATTTATGAGTCAATAGAAATTTATCGATTTGGATAAGTTGTTATTGAAAATTTTCTTAACGGCTAAGGACACTATTGTCGATTATGATCGGCAACATGCATAACCGAGCACAGAATTTTTTAATGCTAATTTGACATATCTGACGTGCGTATAATACCCTCAAATGTAAAAAACATAGCATTTTTCGAGTAGATTTGAAAGTTCATATTTCAAACTTTTTTTAAGTCATGAATTTGATGAGTAATCTATTTCAATAAATTTCAATAATATATCTTTTTATATAAGCAACTCATAATACCCTACCCTCCCTTACCATTTTTATTATAATAAAATGGTATCGGTATTGTAAAATATTTTTTTATATGTGTGAAGGATCAGTCGTGTAACATCAACCAACCCGGAAATCTGAGTTGTAGAAAATTTTTAGTTATCTACTTTTCTTTCGATCCGTATATCCAACGTTAAAAATGAAACAAAAATTTTCAGCTCTTGATGTGAGGGCCATGGTGTCCGATTTAAAAGAAAAGTACTATAGTATTTTATTATTATTATTGATTTATTTATTTTTTTATTTTTTTACAAACATTCAAGATCGATTTTAATTACAGAATTGTTGGACTGAGACTACAAAACGTTTATGACATAAATCCGAAGACTTATTTATTTAAATTTTCAAAGGTAATCAAAAGTATTTATAGAATGCATATTGTTGTTTAGCTGTGATCTTTAATTTTTAACGATTTATCATGTTTTAAATCAAATAAAGCCGGACAGGAAGGAACTCGTGTTAATTGAATCTGGAAGCAGGATTCATACAACACAATTTTCTCGAGATAAATCGATTACTCCTTCACCTTTTTGTATAAAGGTATGTGACCAAAAATAATTGTAATTTATACGCGATAATGATTATTTTTAATAAATACAAAATGTTAATCCGTGAAAAAATGGTTATCGGATGTTCCAAGCCCAGATTCAAATGTTCCGAGTAATAATCCAAGTAATAATATCTTATGTACCATTTTTTTTTTCAGCTACGCAAGCATATTAGGACACGAAGACTAACTGATGTCAGGCAATTGGGTGTTGATAGGATCATTGACTTTGAATTTGCTGGCATTGGTGAAGGCATAACGTACCATATTATAGCAGAGTTTTATGCTTCAGTAAGTTTCTTAAAATATATTTTGTTTAATCCTTTTTATTTTTTTGCGTGTTATTCATTTTATAACGAATATATTTTAGGGAAATATCATCTTTACAGATCATGAATATACAATATTATCATTGCTACGCGTCGTTCAACCTAAAGAAAATGAAAAGATTTCCGTTGGCCAAATATACAATATCAATGCTGTATCTCGTGTAGGCGATCCCGTAACGAGGTTTCGTTTACGAGACGAATTGACTAATCAAACTTCCAAAGATTCGCTAAAAAAAGTGTTAAATGCTAAATTGAGTATGTTTATTACCTTAATCAATTATCATTTTGATCTTTTTTTAATATAAAATCAATTATAGGTTACGGTCAGTCATTGACTGAACATGCCATTCGCCTTGCAAATCTGGATCCAAATATGAAAGTTGGGACAGTTGACAAATCTGAAGGTTATTCACGATTATTAATATTTCATATTCCTGGCAAAATCTCTGGATCTAATAATATTGCGTATACGATTAGATTCATCGCATTTAAGTTCTTTAGAAGCGGGTTTCGCTGAAGTAGATCGTATAATAGAAGATGCTGCTAGGACCAGGCAAAAGGCAATAATCGCGTTAAATAATCATTATTTATGCAAAGACTATATTTTTGGCCAAACATTTATTTGTATTAAACTCTTATAGGGGTATATAATTATGCTAAAACATTCACAAAATAATGAAGGTGATGTTGAAGATGATGTAACAACGTATGCTATTATAGTGTTGTGCTATTCGTTCAATTTTCTGTAAATTGAAATTTTTAATGTTTTAAACTGTTTATTCTTAGTTATGATGAGTTTCATCCTTTTCTTTTCGAACAACATAAATCGAAACCCTACAAAGAATTTGATTCATTTGATTTGGCCGTCGATGAGTATCATTCATCTATGGAAAGTCAAAAATTATTGTTAAAGCAGAGAAGCCAAGAGAAAGCTGCATTGAAAAAGTTGGAAGCCATTAAAAAAGAGCAATATTCCAGAGTGGAAAATTTACAAAGTACACAAGAGATTAACATGCGTAAAGCTAGATTGATCGAGTCTAATATTGATATAGTAGATCAGGCTATTGTAGTAATAAGAAATGCTATTGCTAGTTCAATGGATTGGAAAGACCTTGAAAACTTAGTTATTGAAGAAAAAAAAAAAGGAAATCCAATAGCTGCTGTAATTGCGGGATTAAAGCTGGAAATAAATCAGATTACATTGTTATTAAAGTATATAAAATTTTTATTAACTTATGGAATTATAAATAACTTCTCTAAATGGCCCATTAAGGCTGGATACAAAAAATGCATCCACTTATTTATTATAAGTAATTTTATAAATGCCACTGTGTTAGGATTGATATATAGGGTGCATTTAGAGAGATTCTTTACATTATCAATTCTATTGTACAGTTGACTGATTTTTTTTTTTTATGATGCTATATAGGGAACCAGAAGAAATTGATGAAACTTTTTACGATTCTTCAGATGAAGAATCTGAAAAAGAACGAGACCACTTGCAAGAGACAGTACAAGATAAAGTTGATGTTGATATATATTTATCTGCATATGCTAATGCCAGGAAATTCTATGATGTAAAAAAACAGTCCATGATCAAACAAGCAAAAACTTTAGCTGTTGCTGATAAAGTTTGTATTAAAACAACACACTAACAATGATGCATTCTAAATTTATTCAAATAATAGATCTCATTTTGCATATTTTTATTTTCACGTAGGCATTTAAAAGCGCCGAACAAAAAATCAAACAAGACCTTAAAGAAACAAAAACAACTGCATCCATAAATAAGATTCGCAAACCTTTTTGGTTTGAAAAATTTTTATGGTTTGTAACATCCGAAAATTATCTTGTCATCGCCGGGCGTGACATGCAGCAAAATGAATTGTTGGTTAAACGATATCTTCGGAAAGGTAAATTTTATGCAGTGCCTATATTTCTTTTCGCAAATCAAGTAATAAATTCCCATTTAGTGAAAATAACATACACTTTTAATTCGAAAGGCGATTTGTACGTCCACGCCGATTTGCACGGTGCTGCTTCAGTTGTTATTAAGAATCCTAATGACGGTCAGGCAGTGCCTCCGAGCACGCTTTTTCAAGCTGGAATTATGTCTGTCTGCCAAAGTAAAGCTTGGGAAGCGAAGATAGTTACTAGCGCGTATTGGGTCCACGCGGATCAAGTAGGCTTCTGTACACTGTAGAATTTGTAACGTTTAATTAGTATTAAGCTACTGTATTTTCCGAAATGATCCATATTATCAACATAAATATATCATACATGATTAGGTATCTAAAACCGCCCCGACTGGGGAATACCTTACAACTGGTTCTTTTATGATTCGTGGTAAAAAGAATTTTCTGCCACCTGTACAATTGGTATATGGTCTTGGATTATTTTTCAAAATGGACGAACAAAGTATTGCAAATCATTTGCATGAACGGCGTCCATTAAGGGCAGAAGAAGAGTCAATTGAAATAGAAAAATCGGTGAATGAAGTATATTATAATACATTACTTAATAAGACTTACTCTCTTTTGAACTAATAATTATATATTTGCTATTAAACTATTATAGGACAATAATATGAAAGAGCTTTACCCTAATGATAATAGTATTGATAGTGAATCAGAAGACGTAGTTGGTATGATTTAACTGAATACAAAGCCCATATCATTGTGTTATTACATGTTTATATACAGATGTATTCCCGTTCATTAGAAACAATCAAAACCGAAGGTATTGAAGAGACAAAGTTGAATGAAAGTGAAGATGAGAATTATTATAATGAGGAAGAAACGCAAGAACACGCATTAAATCAACAATTAGATTTAAGTGAAAATTTACAGAGTTCTATGAAGCTCGATATTCCAGCTTGGGATAAGTATAATCTAGATGAGTATGGAGAAGATAAAGATGCTGAGGAGGATATTAATCAAGGAAACAGTGATAAATCGGTAATAATAAGTTAGTAATAAAATATGCGATTTAGATGATTTAAATAATTTAATAATGCATCTCTCGACATACAGAAAAAAAAATACATATCTACGAAAGAAAGGAAAATGCTAAAAAAGCAAAAGCAAACTGCTTCTGGAGATAAAGGTTCGAAAACTCTTGTACCATCAGCCTCTGATTCGCCCGGAGATTTAGTATCGCAAAAAGAATCATATGTTTCTGGAAAAGGAAAGGTAATTAGTTTCCTTGAATTTTGCGAAACTAGTGATATTATTAATTACTTAATTTTAATAATTCTAATAGCAAACAAAACCAGTACAAACCCCTCGTGGCAAAAAAGGAAAATTGAAAAAATTGAAGGACAAATATGCTGATCAAGATGAAGATGAAAGATCCTTACGCATGGAGTTGCTTGGTGTAAGAATATTTACATATTGCAGTGGTGTGCATAAACTACCTTTTCTTTTTAAATGTTATTAATAAAATTTTTTATAGTCAAGCAAAACACCCCAAGTCAAAGGCAAGAAAGGGAAAAAGGAAACGCAAAATCAAAAAATTTCTAAACAAACTACAAGTAATTTGAAAGAGGATTCAATTGACCTGAACAAATCTCAAAATGATGCACAAGAAGATCCAGCATCTCAAAATCAGGAAGTGGAACTCGAAGAATTTGATGAAGATTTGGTAAAAATATATATTCAATATTTGCGCAAGTGTAATTCAATCAAATGCATTACTTATTTCATTATAAAATCAAAAAAGGCTTCAGGAATTAAAAATGAAGAAGCCGAAGAGATTCGTCAACTTTTAAAGGAAGAAAATATAACACTTTTGGAAGCTGATGCAATGGTGAATATATATTTTGAACGGTCGCATCACTCTTTTGCTAGATATCAAATGGTTTTTTCTCATTGTCATTTAGGAGAATTTGACTGTCCTTGATACTTTGACTGGAATTCCGTTGCCGGATGATAACCTACTATTTGCTGTCCCAGTATGTGCACCTTATACAGCTTTGCAGAAATTCAAGTACAAAGTTAAATTGACACCAGGATCGATGAAAAAAGGAAAAGGTTTGCTATTATTTTATTAATTATTAATGTTTATTTTAAAATTTTAAAATACACTAATGTTATCATAATTTAAATGTTTATAACTTAAATAAGCTTGCAAAACTGCTACGACATTTTTCCTAAGTGATCCGGCTATGACACCACGCGAAAAAGAACTAGTCAAGAGTATTCCTGATATGGAAATGATATCAGTGATGTTGGGTAAAAGTAAAGTATCTGCTCCAAATATTGAACAATCTAAAAAAGCAGCGAAAAGACGAAAAGCAACAAATAAGGAGGTTTAAAAAAATTACTAGGAAGTAATTAATATGCTTAATCACGTTTTCAAAAATTGAATGTGATTGCATGATTACTGTGTATAATTTAAAATACGTTGAACTAGCATTCATGGTTTAAAAAGTAATTAAATTAGTAGTAAATTCATGTACTTAAATTTTTTTTTCGGTTGATGTTATTCAGTTATATTAATTTGCTAATTGACTAGTTGGTTAAAATTAGTGATGCTGGTAAAATTAATTTCTAGAGACGTGCCTCTTGTGCGAAATGTTAATGTCATAATAAAATTATTTATATTATCTCGCGAGAATCAATTGAATGACATCAGCATTTCGCGCGAGAGGCACATCTCTATTAATTTCACCAATTTCACAAATAGTGATGAAATTATTTCACCACTCTGGTTTAATTTCACCAGCACCTTTAATTGATTTGAAAAAAATGCAACCTTTTATTTGATATTATAGTATTATGATTTAATATATGTGCGTATCGAACTTGAACATGTTCGTGAACCTTTGAACAAACACGATCTGACCCAAACATATCTGAAGTTCCAACTTGAGTTAAACATGTTTTCGAAAAATAGTTTCATTTGGCTTGATAATATTAATTTAGATTATAAAGAAATTATACACAATATACATATATATGAATTAATTACAGTATACAGTAGCATATCGGGCTTTCGGATTTACTTATTTCTGCAAGTGATACAAGCCAAAAAAGGAACTGATTGTTATTTCGCTAAAATACGTAATATTTGACCAGCGTTAGGGCTAGGGCTAAAGGTTGGTATTAGAAATGTGATTTTCTAGGCAAAATTTTGAGTTACCAGCGATGTTTTGAAAAATCCTTCGAACTCACGTTACACGAATATTGCACCTGATCTTGCGATCTACACAGAAAATTTCCTTTTTGAGCTTGCATCACTTGCAGAAATAAGTATGCGGGCTTTCGTACCTCCTGGTGAACCAGAAGGTTCGAGGTAGGAATGTCCCGAGTGCCCCGATCTGTAGATCGTTACACAATTAATCAAAGATTTTTTTTATACATTTTACAATCCTTTTTTTGGAAGCTCGGGTGGCTTAACTCTTTTGTGAACCCGCAAAGCGTATTAAGTAAAACTTGAAGTTTTGTGCTATACTATAAGAATATTGGCTAAATTATTCTAAATCATTCGACTCTCATATTAAATTTGCTCAGTAAAACAATGACCAACTCTAAGCATTGCATGAATTGTGAAACCACTGGATTAACTGTATTTTACTCTTTAAAGAACAAAAAATATAAGAAAATAGAAAATAATAATTTAACTAAAGAAAAGTGAATGAAAAGTAATAAGTTATATTATAATTGTTATATGAATTTTGTAGAAAATCTATTACAAAGATTATGAAAAGAAATTAAACAAATAAGAATCTCAAGTAAAAAAGTTGAAATTACAGTTAGAGAAAAAGTAGACATTACATATAAAAATATAAAAATTACAATAAAAGATATGAAAAAGGCAAGTATGATTGATCTTATTAAAATTATTGAAACTATGACAAGAACTTTTTATAAAAGAAAGCATATAAAGAAGAAAGATTTTATTTATTTATATAAAGAATTACAAGAAGTATTTCAAATAAATAAGTGTTTGAAAAAAATTTTCTTAATCAACTTTATTTAATAGCTAAGCCACTTAAGCATAATGAGAAAATCATGGATTGTATGAAAAAATTAATCATTTATATTTGTTATTTTCTTGCATTATTAAATAATTCAAAAATTAGTTCTTTTAAATTAGAGGTATGACGACTTAGTGAAGTAGATAAGTTGTCAACCTCCCAAGTGGTAGGTTGTGAGTTCAAAACCCACCGACGGCGAAAATTTGAATAATCACCTATGTAATACATAGACGGTATTATGGCGACAGCATTTTGTCGATCAGTTGGGATAGAATTCCTGTAACTATGGTCGCACCAGCATGACTGGCAGGTCACAGGGCATCTGTGTAACCTTGGTTACACAGAGGAATGCA